TTTGGGTCTAAGTTTTCTAATTGAGTTGAATTTGGGTTTGAATTGGGCTCACTTAAAAATATGGCTTGGGCTTCTTTTATTTGGGTTTTATAACTGAAAAAATAGACGTAAACAAAAAATTGGGCTAGATCAACTTAAGGAATAGTGTTATTATATGGGTCAATATTTGACTTGAATTTCTGAAAATATTGACCCGAATTTCTTGAAATATTATGAACCCAAATTTCTAAAGTTTTATTGAAAAAACGTGTCTGGAAAAATTTGATTCCAACCAACTTTCTAGCAACTCAAGAAATTTACAAACCCAATCTAATTTGATAGCCCTCTTATTTGTCAATTTCCAAACATAATTCAATTTTTTTATACCATAAGAACCCTAATTTATGAAAAATCAACTTAATGGAAAATAGATCAGTTTCTAAACTTGGATTTGCCCTGATACCACATGTAAAACTTCATTGCAATTTCATTAATGGCAAAGAAACAATAATATAATCATATTTCTATGCCCTAAATTGCATAAACATAAATATCAAAATATAAAACTTAATGAATTTTCACTATTTAAGAAAAGAGTAATACATACCTGAATCCATGAGTAATCTCTTTATGGAATTGCGAAAGAAGGCATTGTATCTCTCCCTTTATTCCCTTACTGTAATTGCTTATTTCTTTTTTATGGATAAAGAAAACTACGGTAAGGAATAGTTAGGAATAGAGAGAGAATACGTCTTTTATATAGTAGTTTTATTAACTCCCAAACTACAATTATTTTATTAACTGCAATAACCTCTCCATCAAAGGTAAATGAACATCATGCCCCTTAGCTAATTTAATTATTTCAAAATAACCATGGACCATCTTATTTGAATTAATATATTTCTAACACTATGATTACAACAAACAATTGAAAGCTTCATAAACAATTCAATACAAAAATTATGGAAATCACGACCTCTTTCTTTTTCTTAAATCTGAATGCTTTCACCACGGCAATTGCTGTAGTGAAACTCTGGAAATCATGATCCTTCACAGATGAAAAAAATGACAAAAAAGAACGCATCCATTCCTCTTTGATATTTTCATCTATAGCATTTTTAGTTTTTTTGCCTTGGTGGATCTCTCTTATTTAAAAAAATTTCTAGAATCTTGGATTACTAATTGGTGGAATACTAGGCAATCCGAAACTTGCTTGAATGATATTCAAGAAAAGTAAGAGTCTTGAAGAGCAATCACTTGTACCTCTACCGTATCTTACTTACCCTTGTTTCACTTAATCCCTATTAAACTTCTTCTTATGCCCTGACTATAACGAGAATAGAACCTTTCTGAGCGATCTCACTTATTCCTTTACCCGGGAGACAGAGCTATGGCTAGTTCACCCGCCTGTGAGCTACAGACACGGACCTAGCTTGATTCATTCCTTTCTGCAATACCTAAAACAAAGAGGATCGTTTTATCGTGTTTTTGTTCATTTTCCCGTGTTTTTGGCTTGTTTTTAATCGGATTAGCAGGGCAGGTTTGGAGTGGAGGATGAAGACTTAGATTCTGATTCTCTTTCTTCTTTTGCCTATGGTTGACTTCTTGAACTCGGCTTTGACTTCCCCTTGCCTTGCCCACTAGAGCAGTTCCTTCAGCGGAAGAACTAATCCATCCTCCCGTTGATTGATAATGGGTTAGAGAATCTAATCACTTCCTAGTAATGCCATCTCCTCCTTCTGTTCAATCCCTCTTCAATTCTTTGCTTTGTTGGTTTGCTTGCTTGTTGAACTACCAGTGACGGTCAGGGAGTTGACTTCTTGACCTTTAGAAGAGGCAGTTTAGTAACAAGTTCTCATCCAAGTCAACAGTATAGTCATCACCACTCCATTTTGAATAGAAGATCACTTGAAACACAAAATTAACACATTAGGCAACTCTAAACTAACTCAACTAAAAAGAAAAACTCAAAAACACAAAAATAACATAAAATCAAGAGTTCTTAAGTTGCCTTCCAAGAAGCGCTTTATTTCCTATGTCCTTCATCAATTTGGACTATCCACATATATCACACCCCGATCTTTTTCCTTTACAAGAGGCTTCACTCGTTGATGATTCTTGGCCCATGTACTCTTCGTCGGGAGCTTAACTACCCATTGCCACCCTTTGATCTTTCCTTTAGAGATTTGGGCATTCTCATAGGCATCATTTCGCAACTTCAAATTCCATCAGCATACTTGAAATGAGAAGGTGTTAAAGTGAGCTCTTTAGCAGTGGTCACCATCACCACTTTTGACTTGCACGTTTGTATACTCAAATCTTCACAAATTTGTTCTTTATGAGGTGACTTGCTTACGTGTATTGTACACACCTTTAGATTACGATCTTCATCCTCAATCTTCTTTGACTTCATCATGCATCCTTTAAGTTTCAATTTAGGATTATCAACCTTGGAAGTTTCAACTACCGACTTATTCACCGAATCAATTTTGAAGCAAGAGCTAGCTTCGATGGGAACTTTGTAGCCTCAAAGACATTAAATGTCACTTTTTTATCTTGCACCCTTATATTCAGCTTCCCCTCTTGCACATTTATTAAAGCTTTTCTGGTTGCAAAAAATGATCGTCCTAAGATGAGAGGTATCTTTTTATCTTCTTCCATGTCCAACACCACAAAATCATTAGGAAAGATAAACTTATCCACCTTGACCAACACATCTTCAACAATGCCCCATGGATGCTTAATCAATCAATCTGCTAGCTGAAGAGAAACCATTACTGGATCGTTAACGGCTCACCTCATTTGGAATAGAGTCAGCTACTGGCTCATGAGAGAGAACAAGCCGAGTTTGAGCCTGCCTTGGCTCCGCTTGTTAGGCTTGTGAGCCGAGCTAGGCTCAAATTATTAGGGCGTTTTAGGGGTTTTATAAAGTATGGGGGATTAAACTAAAATTTTTAAAACAAAAGTTCGTAAAAATGAAGAAAACCCCCTGATGTTAAAATCCCTAAAAATGCGACTAAAACCCTTTGACGTAATACCAAACCAAATCAAACTATTTGAGAAACAGAAGCCATTAGAGAGAGAGAAAAGAAGAGAAAGCAAAGGAGTAATAGGTACCAAAAAGAGAAGAGAAAGATGGGTTAAAAGGAAAAAAAAGGGTTACGGGAAAGTTAAAAGAAAATAAGTTAAATTTTCTTTTCAATTTGAAACATGGGTCTTGTTACCGAAAGAGAGATCAAAAACCAAAAGAAAATATAAAACCCTAGAGCAAAAAGGTAGTGAGAATACCTTCAGAGTTGGTGGAGAGAGCAAGGGAACAAGGATAAAGAAAGAAATGAAGAGAAAAGAAGAGAAGGCAGAGGAGTAATAAATTAGAGAGAGAGAAAAGAAGAGAAAGCAGTAATAAATGAGATTGAGAGAAAAGAAAATAAAGAAAGTAGTAATAAATTAGGGAGAGAGAAAAGAAGAGAAATAAGTAACAAATGAGAGAGAGAAAAGAAGTAATAAATTAGAGAGAGAAGAATTTGCTCTAAATTTTGTTTAAAATATTGCTTTTTTTTTTTATTGGCTTGCAAGCCAGCTTAGCCTAAGCCAGCTAACGAGCCACGCTTGAAATCTTCTCCTCCTTTCACAAGTGGAGCAAAGCAAGAAAATCAGTGACTTGGCTCAGCTCAGCTCAACTTGGCTAAAAAACAGCCCTGATGGTTGGTTTGACTTCACCAATCCCCAATTTTCTAACACCTAAATCACAAAGAACCCTATCAAACTGAACATCTCCTATAGTACAAGGAATACTAAAAATTCCTAGATCTTTAAGCTTTGGAGGCAGCTTCTTCTGGATTATGGTGCTGTATTCTTCTATGAGCATCATTGTTTCTTCCAACTTTCTCTTACTTGAAAGAATCTCCTTCCAGAATTTGGCATAACTCGGCATTTGTTGTAGAGCATCTACAAAAGGAATGTTAATTTGCAATTTTTTTTTTTAAAAACATCAAGGAATTTAAAGAACTGCTTATCCTAATTTGACTCTCTAAGTCTCTGAGGAAATGGCATTGGAGGTGTGTGATTTGCAAGGCTTTGTGGAATCTCCAGAAAAGGTATCTTTTCCTTGGCACATTTTCTTTCTTCGAATCATCTTTTTGTGGCTCTACAACTTTCTCTTCCACAATGATTTCTTCATCAACCTCGTTGTCAGATTCTTCCATCTTTTCTAGGATTTTCTCCTCTTTCTTCTTTGGTTCAGTTTCTTCCAACACTATTCCTCTCCTTAGTGAAATTGCATTCACTTGCTCTCTTGGGTTGGTCATAGTAATACTTGGCAAAGAACTTGGTGTTCTCTCATTCAACTTTTCAAAAATTTGACCCATTTGGACTTCCAAGTTTCGAATAGAAACTCCTTGATTTCTAACATTTGCTCTTGTCTCAATCATGAACTTCTCAAACATATCTTCCAACTGGGACACTCTTTGTTCAACTGGTTGAAGATTTACCACTGGTTGTTGATTAATCACATTTATTTGATTCCCTTGATCACCTTGGTTGCCTTGATTGCTCCAGGAAAGATTCAGATGGTTTCTCCAACCAAGATTGTAGGTGTTTGAATATGGATTGTTTTGTGGTCTTTGATTACCAGCTAAATAGTTAACTTGATCTACTGATGACGATGATGAGGCGAATGAGATCCCTATTTGACATTCAACACTTGCTAAGCATCTGCAAAAAATTCACATGTTACTTGAGGTGTTTGAATGAAATTAACTAGCATAACTCCTATTTGTCTCTAAAGTGCTGCAAGTTGAGTAGTTATTGCAGTGTAAGCATCAATTTCATATAACCCATGCTCTTCTTTAGAATTACTGTCTCGTTAGGCCTTTGATTATTGTTCTTGCCAAGACCTCAAGTAACTCTTAAACTGCAACTAGTGTCTTGTTGTGCAAAGCTCCCTGGATGTTGCATCTACCATTGTTTGAACATTTGGAAGCAACCCATTATAGAAAGTTTGGACTTTCATCCAAATAGGAAAACAATGGTGTGGACACTTTCTCATTAATTCCTTGTATCTTTCCCATGCTTTGTACAAGGACTCATTGTCGCTTTGCACAACAAAGTGATGTCGTTTCTCATTTTTGTTGAAAAGGCTAGTGGGAAATACTTGGCAAGGAACTTTTGTGCTAACTCATTCCAAGTCATGATGGTTATAGCGGTTAGAGACATTATCCATCCCTTTGCCTTATCTCTCAACGAGAATGGAAATAGTCTTAATCTTATGGCATCATTTGTCACTCCATTGGACTTGAATGTATCACAAATCTCCAAAAAGTTTGCTATGCGTAGATTTGGATCATCTCTTGTATCTCCCCTAAACTGTACCGATTATTGAATCATTTGGATGATAGTTGACTTAATCTCAAAGCTATTTGCCTCGATAGGCGGTCTTGTTATGCTCAGACTACATCCCTCAACTTATGGACGTGCAAACTCTCTCAAAGTTTTGTTATCAACCATGACTAGAGGTGGTGTTTGTTTTCTTTCTCTTTCTCTTTTGTCTCTAATATGTCTTCTTGTTGTCCTTTCGATCTCAAGATCTATAGGAACCAAAGTTCGATTTCTCATTCTTCGCATAAACTACATAGAAAAGAAACAGTGTGAGACAAAACAAAAATTCAAATTAGACTAAAATAAAGTAAAACTTAAAATTAAAACTCCAACTTAGCTAAAACTAGAATTTATCAATATTAAAACAGACAATCCCTATCAACGGCACCAAAAACTTGATGCGTGTTTAACTAAAACACATACAAAGTAGCAAGTGCAATATTCGCAAAAAGTAATAGAGTGGTGAAATGAGTATCGTCCCACACAAATTGCATATTAACTACTGATATTTCTAATTTACACTAATTGAAGAACATAAAGAATTTGGATTGATGGGAGACAAAATGAATTAAACTAGAACAAAGTATTAAAACTTTCAAGAAATTAAAACAACACTAAATTAAAGCAAATGGATAAAAATTCTTAAAATAAAGAAGTTAGGGCTTTTAACTTCACCAAGCTATACTAACTTAACCTATGAATTCCGTTCAAATTCTATTGTGATGACTAAAAATCGAACTCCCTAAGATGTTTGGCACTCCCTTTCGGGTTATACCATCCCACTGATGCGTGTTTCCTACAACATGCAATATGTAGCAAGTATACTAATCGCACAAGTAATATACTGATGAGTAGAGTATCGTTCCCACGAGGATTGTAAGCAAAGCACTGAGTTTCATAATGTTTTCTAGTTGAAGCAATCGAATTCTTTGGATTGGTGGGAGCAAATTTTAATTAAAAACAACAAAATGAAATTTAAACTAAGATTAAAACTTAATTAAGAAAGCAATATGTAAACACGGAATATCAATTCAAGTAAAACGGGTAGGGTTTTGACTTCATTTGGATTTTTATGGGTTAAACCTAAAATTACACTACACTCATATTCATATGCAATGGTTGTAAATCGAACTCACTTATATGTTAGACATACCCTCTCGGGCTATGCCTTCCTATTCTTCCTTATTAACCTTCCGCACCCAACAAATTGAAGATTAATAAATCCAAACTCATTAAGTAAAGGAATCCTATAATGATTTCATTAATTCTTGAATCTATCTCTAGCATCCAATACTATAATGGTGATTACCCAAGAAGCCTAACATGACTCATTTCTCAATCTCACCATGTTCATCACATACAACATTAAAAATCAGAGTAACACACAACCAAAGCATATTCATATGAAAATAACACAATCAAACCCTTAACCCATTTAAAATCCAAACTACCATCAAAACCCTAACCCAAAAGAGATTAGTTCATAACTAAATCAATAACACAAAAATGAAAATAGGAAATAAACATGTTCAACATAATGAAATGAGAATAAAGATTAGAAATCTCCCCAAAAGATGAATCCTCTAGTTGGAAATCGAATCTTCTTCCTTTTACAACCTAAATCGCTCAAAGTTCTTAGAAAAGTGCAAAAGTGGCTAAACCTAAAACAAAAACGAAGACCCTGGGCAAAAAGACTAAGTTTTTCTTTTATCCTTCGTCAAGATAACCCAGCCAAACACGCACAGCACGAAACTGTGCGTTTGACAAAATTGAAATAAGTGACTGTCGCCGCGGCGAAGAATAAAGCAGACAAACTCGTCCCTGGCTTACTTCGCCGTAGCGAGGACATTTCCTTCACCGGGAGAAGCTTCTTGAAGAGTTTTGAAATTACAAAACTGCCACTCTGCTTGCTTTTTCGTTTGATTCTTCGATTCTCGGTGCTCTTCCTTGGAAACAAGCTTCATCGTGCTTTATCCTGCTTCAGAACTCTCCTATCTTCTGAGATTCGCTAATTTCTGAGTCAAAAATATCAAATTTTGTTCTTATTTGCTCAAAATGTCCATTTTAACCTAAAATACGAAAAGTAAAGAATTAAGTAACAATTCAGGTCAAAATGCACTAGAAAGTACCTGAAATCCGACAAAAAGGTAATATGAAAAGTGTATAATTCACGGATTATCACGCACCTATTCCTATTAAGTCTCCACACCCAAAAATTGAGACTTAATAGTTTAAGGTCTCTTAAGTGCTGTGGAATTCTATCCAGATTACTAAGGTCGCGTTTATCTATCTGTAGTTTTCACTCAACCAAAGATGTCTATCCCTAGAAGCCATACATGAATTGCCTCTCAGCCTTAACATGTTCAATAAGTCATTTGAATGAAAACCTAGCATCCAAACACAATAAAAAATGGAGATAAATACTTAATCACAACAATTGAAATCAAGAACAATAGGAAATTCATAGATTATGCAAGTATAATCAAGGATCCATCAAAACCCTAACTAAAACAAGTTAGTTCATGATTGAAAGAATAAAGAAGAAGTTTCTTGAATCAAGAACAAGAAAAACAATGCAGAAAAAAACAAAGGAAGCGAAACTGAAATTGCTTTCTTTTGATAACTAACGTTTATAGAATACACATGATGAGTATTTAAGCAAATATTGCATGAACGAGTAAACGACACCATTTTCCTATTTGGCTAATTCCACCTTTGTCCTTCATTCTAAAATTCCCCCATAAACCAAACATTCTCTATTTCTCTTATACTATTCTTATCTTCATATTCCCTCTTCATCATAACATCCTCTTGACTCATTTCACAGTTCACCTATCTACAGTTCTCACAAGCAAATGTATATCAATAGAAAAAGGCAGACTTAATTGATGGCAGACTTAACTGATTTCTTTCTACATTAGCCTTTCCTTTCTAATGACTCTGCCACTTTTAACTTTTCCCTTAGCCACTGAAATCTATGTCCAGACAAGGGTTTGGTTAGTATATTTGCTAGTTGATACTCAGTACCCACGTATTGCACACAGACTCGTTTATCAGCTACCAACTCTCGAACGTAATCCACATCTATTTCAATGTGCTTTATTCTTGTGTGGAAGACAAGGTTAGATGACAAAGCCCCTGCGCTCATGTTGTCACACCACAGAACAGGTGTGGTTGTGATTTCTATTCCAAGTTTTGTGAACAAATTCTTAATCCAAACCATTTCAGTGGCAGTTTGACACAAGGACCTTTACTCTGCTTCAGTAGAGGACAGAGATAAAACCTTTTGCTTTCTTGAGTTCCATTGAATTAAATTCCCTCCAAGAAACATTTCGTACCCACTGGTTGATTTTCTATCGTTCATGTCACTGGCCCAATCAGCATCAGCATCGCCTTCTAAGAAAAATCTCTTAGCTTTGGTGAATATCAAAAATGGTGCCTTGGATGTACCGAAGTACTCTCTTACTAGCAGTCCAGTGAGCAGCCGTAGGGGTCTGTAAGAACTAACTAAGTTATTAACAACAAAGGCTAGATCTGGTCTGGACAAAGTTAAGTATTGTAGGCTACCCACAACTTTCCTATAAAGAGAAGGCTGATCAAATAATTCACCATCCTCTTTGTTGAGTTTCATTCCTAGAGCCATAGGAGTCTGACAAGGCTTTGAATATGCCATGCCAACTTTATTTAAGAAATCCTGAGCATACCTGGTTTGAGTCAAGAGCAGTGAGGAATCATTTCGAGTTGCTTCAAAGCCAAGGAAGTAATTGAGAGACCCTAAAGTTTTGAGGGAAAATTGTTTGTTCAAATCTATCACAATTTACTCAATAAAATTATTATCATTTCCAGTGAGAAGGATATCATCTACATACACCAGTAGATAGATGACTTGGGTTTCTCTTTTGAAATAGAACAAACTGATATCAAAGGTGGAATTCTCAAAGCCCCAAGATAGTAAGACACTTTTCAACTTGTCGAACCAAGCACTATGAGCTTGTTCCAAGCTATACAAGGCTTTATGTAGCTTACAAACATGCTTAGGTAAATTTGGATCAGCAAAACCTTCTGGTTGATACATGTAAACAGTCTCGGTTAGTTCATGATTAAGAAACGCATTGTTGATATTGATTTGTTGAATATCCCATTGATGATGAACTGCCAAGGATAGCATGACTCTTATGGTGACAGATTTGATAACAAGTGAAAAGGTCTCAAAATAATCCAAGCCTGGTGTTTGTTGAAACCCCTTTGCAACTAACCTTGCTTTATAAATTTGCAAGGATCCATTAGAATTTAGTTTAGTTTTAAACACCCATTTGTTTCTTACTATATTCATTCCAGGCATGCAAGGCACCAATTCCCAGGTCTGATTGTTTATAAGAGCATTGTATTCTGTCAGCATTGCATCTTTCCATTCTGATGTGTTTAGAGCCTCAGTCATAGATTTAGGCTCTACTAAGATTGTCTGAGTTGATAGATAGGCAAAGAGGTTGAATGAATTCGACTTGCTTTTGGACCTGGTCACCATCGGATGAGCATTCTGTGTTTGTGACTTAGGAAAGCAAAGATCTACTTCGAACTGAATTCCTAGACCCTTAGAAGAAGGTCTGCACTTTGGATTTGTTGTGCATATGTCAGGTGGTTGATCAGTATGTGAGGGAGAGATGTTGAATTCAGAGCAAGAAGGTAGCATAATAGATTGATTTCTTTGTAGCATAGCAAACTGATTTCTTGTAACCTGGAGCCTGGAATAA